TGACCATCCAGTATATTTTTAAAAAATGGCAGCGTTGGCTGGTCGTTGATCTCGTGTGGACAACCTTTCCGTTTGTAAACAAAATGTGGAATGAGGAAGGATGTGTATGTAATACCTTTTTTAACAATCGTCTGCTTCGTCACGCAGCATGCAGCAGAACTGGAGCAGAAGCAGAACGATTCAGAGAACAAGAAACTTCTTGGAGAAGTTGTCAAGTACAGCAGTGTTATCCAGGTAGAGATAATCTCTTAAACTATGGTGTTACACTCTGTTGTGTGCTGAGCCTACCTTTTGTTTTATTGTTTACCCAGCTTGTGTTACTGTCATCTAACCCCTGACACCTCAGGCAGGTTTCTAAAAAAAAACAATGCTGGTATTTGATTTCACTCATTGCTGAACTCTTGCCTGCGTGGTTGGATTGGGAAACCACACATTTAACTGCTGTTGTGAAAGGTACCGGCCATTGTTCCCTTACCTTAGTTAACTCGCCTTATGGATAAACAATTTGTCTGTATTGACTCAAAGCACGGGCTATTTTAGAACCTCGTTTGTTCAGTGAATTCAGGAAATGTCTCCAAATGAAGTCAAATTAAATAACATAGTGAAGTTGCTCGTGTCTTCTACAAATGAGCGGATGGCTCATTCAGTCCAGTCCTTGTACCTGAGCATTTTCAGAGGAATGTTTTTGCTTATTGTTAACACACAGAGACCTATGAAGGCACCTTGTTACTTGCAGGCTCTCAAAAACACATCATTTGTCCACTTTTCTTTAGTTGAATCTAATATCAGCGTGGTGTGCAGGGTGGAGGACATAAAGACGTGATGGCAGACCTAAAGCAGCACTGTTCTCTGAAGCATCATCAGAAATTGCACCTGCAGCATACACATTTTGCCAGATGATTATTCAGATTATAACTTAGATTTGTTGAGCAAAAATGTTAAATATTTCATGGTTTTAGCATTTTCTGTCTTTTTTTTCTTCTTCTGAATCATATGAATAATTTTTACATACATTTTTTATGTTGTGTTTATGTTGTTTTAGTCACCTGGTGGTTGAACATAAGAAGCATTTTCTCTGTCTAACTATGATGCAAACCTTGAGACCATTTCACTGCATATCCCTGCCTACATTTACTTTTTTTCCCCTAACAATGATAGATAAATGGTCTGAATACATCCTCCTCCACTGCTCTGCCAGTGTCTAAACTGCCTAATTTTTCTGTCTCAGCTCCTGCACATAAAGAGTAATAAGTACCTGACGGTGAATAAGCGACTCCCTGCTTTGCTTGAGAAGAATGCCATGCGGGTTTCTTTGGACTCGGCTGGAAATGAGGGCTCCTGGTTCTATATTCAGCCCTTCTGGAAGCTCCGCAGCGAAGGAGACAATGTAGGTTTCTCTCTCCTTGGCATCAGCTCGTTGTAGACACGAAGTACTGTACAAAAACTTGACATTCCCTCTGTCTAGACTGTCAGTTCATTGTTTGTCCTGTTCAAGTAACATTTCTGATTTTGTCCTTCTCCTTTGGCTTTAGCATCCTATGGTTAAAGGTATTGCTTCTGATTGTGCATGATGTGTGTACGTGTGTTAGGTCTGACACAAAATACTGTGGAAAAGCATGGATGCAACACCATTTCGAATGCATGTAAACTGTCAGGTTGAGATTAGAAATCTAGTCAGCTGGTTTGCTTTTTATCTACTGTTTGCCACTTCTGAAATATTGTCGAATACTCCAGAACAGCACAGGCCACCTGTTTCTGATACCACAGTGTGCTTGTGTGTGGATGCTTAAGAGGAGAAACAGTTGACCGTGTAGAGTCTGTTACAGCTTTCTATTTTATGGACTAGAAATAGCATGTGTTAAGTAAGCAAAAGGAAGTGCACTTTTAAGTCCTCGTGTCTTTCGAATGCTGCATTCACATCCTCTGGCCATGGTATGAATAAATCTGTTTGCTGTGAACTGCTCGACCACTCTCTCAAGTGAAGCCCAGCCTGCTTTGCTGCTGCACCCTTGACCAGAAAAAAAAAATGGGGATGTTTGAAAAGCCCTTTGCATGGATGCATTCTTACTTTCCTGTTAAGCTCTTGGAAAACTGCAAGAAATTGACAAAACAGGGTCTCTTTTTGTAATTTGACTGTTCTATTGGTTTCAAGGTGGTGGTTGGAGACAAAGTGGTGCTGATGCCAGTGAACGCCGGACAGCCGCTTCACGCCAGTAACATTGAGCTTTTGGATAACCTTGGATGCAAAGAGGTGAGACTAGTGCACTTGGATTGTTTTCATCAGCACCGGGGTATTAAAAGGAGGATGTCACATTATTACTATATCATCAAAGTGATTTCGGCAGATGACTCTTATTCATCCGATTGTCTTCTACTTGTGTGCATGCCCTAGGTCAATGCTGTTAACTGCACCACCAGCTGGAAAGTCACCTTGTTCATGAAGTTCAGTGACTACAGGGACGATGTCCTAAAAGGAGTATGCTTTTTTTTTTTTTCTCCCCCGTCTCCTCCCCACTTTCTTTATATTCTTGTTAGCCGTTATTTTTAATGGAACCACATTCATTATTTGTGTCTTAAAATGTGTAACATGCAGTTTTCTTTATGTAGCACTCACGTTTTTGTTTGCCGTCCTCTGTCAGGGAGACGTTGTGAGGTTGTTTCATGCCGAGCAGGAGAAGTTTCTAACCTGTGACAAGCACAAGGATCATCAGTACGTTTTTCTCAGGACCACACTGCGGCAGTCTGCCACCTCTGCTACCAGCTCCAAGGCTCTGTGGGAGATTGAGGTAAAGCATAGAACAGACTGAAGATGTGACCGTAGTATGTTTGGTGAATTCAGAGCTTTAACAGAGTAAAACACTGACTTGTAAACTGTGCTCAGCACAATTTAGATAAGCAGATATTAAAATTGCCACGAAAAAAGATCATTTAATCATGACTTTATGACATTATTTCCCCTTTATGTAAGATATGTGCTCGTCTGTAGTTCTGTATAAACCCGTCTGTTGTGCTGCACGTTCCTCTTTATCAGCTTGCAGTAAGTTGAAGTTCCTGTTGTCCCTCTGTTTGTGCCAGGATGTACTTCTCTTACTGTATCAGTGTCTGACATGTTGTTGCAACAGTCTGTGGAAAACAGAATATTCTTGCGTTCTTGCCAGTGTGTAAGAGATGACGCGGACTCTGACTCATTCTGATACTGCGGTGCAAAATGATGTTGGCGTACCAAAAGCTTTAAAATCAAGGCATTTATGCCAGTGTGACTTTTAGTTCATGATCTTCCAGGTCATGTAACCGCACGGCGTTACATTCAGCGAATTAATCTCAATGCTTTTACACCAGCTGTCTTTTTTTCTTTTCTTTTTTAAATGTGCAGATATATGTCTAAATATATGTGCAGTACTCTAATTCACATACAAGCTGTGAGCAAGATAATTAAAGCTCCTCTCAACTGCTGGACACTGAAATACATTCTTTGGAGTGATACTGTTGAAAACATGCTAATCTCTGATAAAAAAAAAAAAATAAAGCTTTTTATTTTGTGTCCTTATGTCAGGTTGTGCACTATGACCCCTGTCGGAGTGGAGCTGGACAGTGGAACAGTCTCTTCCGCTTCAAACACCTGGCGACTGGAAATTACCTGGCAGCTGAGGTGTGTTTCAGTGATTTTTTTTTTTTTTACCTGCTTTTAAAAATCAGCTGACATTAATAATCATATGGTGTTTATTGTTCAAGCTGAGTGCACCTGCTTTTCACTTTTGAGTGAGCACAGCTGAAGAGGATTTTAGATGATGTGCTGTAGGTGGCAGTGTTCCCATTGTTATGCCCACTATCACCCGTGCATTGCTGTTGAATAGATTGTATTAGGTGTTGATGATGATAATGAGCTTTCTAGATCTGAGGCCACTGACGCGTCATCTTCTCTCTGCAGGTAAACCCTGAATTCATACCCAAAACTGTGGAGACCAAAGGAGATGTGAATCAGGTAAACAAGCTGATTTATATGTATTATCACACCCCCTTGACATCAGACTGTGATTTACTTTAATTTTGCATATATATTCTTAAGACTAAGGCACTGTCAGTATTAATGAATTTTAGAGCACGTTTAATTCTTGTTCTTTTTTCAAAATTCAACTGAAATAAGACGAGTTAATTAACACGAGAGAAACTTCAAACTGTGTTTTTAAGGTAAATGCGTTGTAACTTCAAACTTCTCTGTCTCCCCATTATTTGGTTATGCAATCCCACCAGTTCCTTTCTCTCTTTCTCGCTCGCACACACACACAAACTCTGCCAAACTCCAAATCTATATCTAGACATTTCTTTCAGCTCTTAGCGAGCTTGCACATTTGTATTCTGGCAATGCGAGGAGCATGCACACCAACTCTCTCAGTCTCGCACACTTTCTCATGCACATGCTGAATTTCAGACACACAGGGGGCTCCTTACATAACGTCTGGGTGTGTGGGGGTGCCCTGCGAGAGGGGATGGAGGGGAGGCAGACGTGCTGTCTGCTCTGCTCCGCTCGGCTGTGCTAAGCTGGTGGGGTGAGTCACTAGCAGAGCGGAGGGGGGAGGTGGAGGAGGGGAGGAGGAGAGTGGGAGGATGGAGAAGCTGAGGCATGGAGGCAGCTCCGGGGAGCTTCCCATTGACATGCAGAGAACAGTGGGAGAAATTAACCCTCACCATTATCTGCAGTATCTGCGCTCTTTAGGAGCCTAAGTACTGCAGTGTCTGACACAACACACCGAGAAGTCCCGGCTCTTTGTGTTTTCGGTGTAATTTGTACTCAATTAATCAACATTAGGTCTTATTTAGGTGTATGCATGGAAAACACAACAACTTGACACTAGGTATGTCAGTGCAGAGCCAATACTTTCCATACTTACAATTTTATTTCAGCGTGGCTGAATATTTACTGTGCAGCCCGATGTACTGGATCTGTTTTCCATTGGGTAAGCGAGTACAATTTGAATTATTGCCTTGGGATGTTGCTAGATTGCACATGAGGAGAACAACAAAAAGTTTTTACTGCCTTCAGTGCTAAACTGTTTATCAGATCAATCAAAAGTTTTTACATGGGTGGAAAAATTGTAGAGTCAACGAAACGCTTGAATCAAACATTCTGTTTAATCTTGTAATCCGAAGTTTTTTGAGTGCAGCTACAGAAAAAACAAGGTTTTTTTAAATTGAAATAATCTGAATTACTGTCATTGATTTGTTTTTCATCGCTATTTTCACAAAACCAGACTACCTTTTTGCACTCGCACTTTAGGTTTTCGTTTAGTTTAAGTTCCCACTGAACTATGTTTGCAGAGGACGTGAGCTGCAGTCGGAGTAGGAAGCAGGTGGAGGTATGCACTGGAGAGAAGAGAAATGAAACACATGGGTGTGAATGAGATGGGGGAAGATAAGGGAATGATAAAGATTTGAGGAGTGGAAGTAGTGAAGGTGGATTAGTTTAAATTCCTGGAATTGCAGCGAACACGAGAGGGGAAGAAGAGGGTGCGGAGGAGGGTGAAAAGGTGGAAATAAGTGTACTGGGAGATTTGTGACAGAAAGATAGCAGCAAGAGTGAAAGGGAAGGTTTACAACATATAGTGAGACCTGCTATGATGTATGACTTAGAGATGTGACACTAACAAAAAGACAGGAGGCTGAGCATGAGGTAGTAGACTTAAAAAGGCTAAGATTTTTTTCTCTGGTGATCAACAGGAGTAAGAGGATTAGAAACTAGTATTTTGGAGGGACGGGTCTGGTTACAGAGGTGACGCTGAGATGAATATAGAACTGCCAGGCAAGAGGAAAAGAGGAGGTTCATGGATGTAGTGAAACAGGACATGCAGAGGGTTGGTGAAACAGAGGAGGATGCTAGAGATGTTGTGATATGGAGGCAAATGATCCACTGTGGCAACCCCTAAAAAAGGAGCAACTGAAAGAAGTAGTAGTAAAAGATAATGACTTTGAATGGTAGTGAAGTGTAGAAAAAATAGGAAAGTGAAGGAAAGCAAGATAAAAAATAACATTGTGATTTGATGCACGCTCAATCATCCAGGTAGGTAAATCTCCAAAAGTTGATTCTGTTCATCTGGACGTAGCGTTTTGTGGGAGAAACGTTTCGTCACTCATCCAAGTGACTTCTTCAGATTAAGGAACTGACCTCCCAGCCCATTGTTCCTTCAGTGGGCTGGTTTCAGTCATGCAAATGTACTGTTTATAAGATTGGGGAAACCTGCATCAGCTGAGACTGAAGAGGTCACTTGGATGAGTGACGAAACGTTTCTCCCACAAAACGAAACGTTTCTCCCACAAAACGCTACGTCCAGATGAACAAAATCAACTTTTGGAGAACATCGTGATTTACATACATGAAGTCACTCAATACACTTGAGAGTTACCAGTCCCATCCAGAGCCTGTTAGCCTGTTAATTACTTTGTGTATAATGTCATAAAAAAAACTGTTTTTCTTTCCTGTGCAACTCCACTGTACGTATGCAATATTACATGCTGTATTTAAAAGCAATCATGAATCCATTTGAGTAGCTGGAACTAGCATTAACCCAAAAAACAAGCAAACCAAAAAAACTTGAACAATTTGAGTCACTAAAAGTTTAAAACTCTTCAGTCATTTTTTTTTTTTTTGACTTTTAGACGTTTGAGCAACAAAAATAAGCATTTTGATGCAATGGTTCAGGAGGATAATTTGCACAATAACCCCGTTAACCTGTGTATTAATGAGTTGCACTCTGTACGACTTTCTTTAATTGACCCATTTGCGTAGCCGAGCTCTGCAGAGAGATTCTTTTTTTCTCAAGTTAAACCAGCATCGACTCTGCGCTCGCTGTGCTGCGTTGAGTCTAATAGTTGAAACAGACTCTGACTGACGAGTAACTTGCCTGTGCCATATAAGCTTTTAAACTGCACGCACAAATGTTTACTTCCTTTGTTTTTGTGTGTGTGTATGTGCGTGTGTATGCTTCAGAATGAGACAGATATTGTGTACTCGAAGAAGAAGAATCAAGCAGCAGACAGGATTGCTTTCACCTTGGTTTCTGTTCCTCATGGGAATGACATTTCATCTCTGTTTGAGCTGGATGCCACCACTCTGCAGCGTGCCGACTGTCTCGTGCCCAGGTCGGTTATTCCCACGCGACGCAACGCTAAAGAAAATAGGTTACAGCTTTAACTTTGTCCACAGGAGGCTCACAGTAGCTCATGTCAGAAAATCTTCCATTTCTAATTCTAACTTCTGAGCATTTTTCTTGAGATTACTTAAATTTTGTTGTTAGTAATAACCATAGTGACTCATGGGGGATGGAGTAAAACAGTGTTATTAAAGGTTATTCCAGGTCACAATAAGTGGAACACATTCTAGGTTAATATCTGTAACTTCTTCTTCAAATCAATCACAAACCATTGGAGTAAAAGTTGGAATAGCTGTTAAAAACAGAAATTTTAGCTTCGTAATGAGAATTTGTGACTTTCAGTATCCTAAAGTCTTGCTGCTGCTAAAAATAACAATTTAAGAATCGATGTAGGGTAATTGACCTTACTGGATGGATCATTTTTAATTCTTTTACCACAGATAAATAATTAACTGACATTCATGCTGTGAATAAATTGTCCTTCCTCAGAAACTCCTATGTAAGACTTAGACACCTGTGCACCAACACCTGGGTGACCAGCACCAACGTCCCCATTGATGCAGATGAGGAGCGTCCAGTTATGCTCAAGGTCTGAATATGGCCACACTCACACACTCGCACTAACCCTGGATAGATTACTTAACATATTTTTTTTGGCTGCCACAATAGATCGGCACCTGCTCTACTAAAGAGGACAAAGAAGCATTCGCCATTGTGTCTGTTCCCCTATCAGAGGTCAGAGACTTGGACTTTGCTAATGATGCAAACAAAGTCTTGGAGTCCACTGTGAAGAAGTGTCTCAACGCCAGTATTACTCAAAATGAGAGGAGGTATAGAAAAGCAAGCACCGCGACACACGTGACACCAGATGATGCGCGTGCTTCATGTTCCGATGTAATATTTCATTCATGCATATTTCAGGTTTGTCACTAAGCTTTTGGAGGACCTGGTTTACTTTGTGTGTGTGGTGCCCAACAACGGAGAGGATGTTCTGTCTGTGGTCACATCCACGCCCAACCGGGAGCGGCAGAAACTCATGCGGGAACAAAACATCCTTGCCCAGGTCAGGAATATGTAAACACAGGTGCTGATTGGTACTAAGTATTAAAAAAAAGGCCCCGGTGCAAAAGTCTACTGCAACGAATGATGCAGCTAAATTACAATAAAAACATTTTATGTTCAGTTCTTTATCAGTGCATTGTTGTTTTTGCTTGTCTAGATATTTGGCATCCTGAAGGCTCCATTTACAGATAGTGGCGATGGGCCAATGCTAAGGTTGGAGGATCTGGGAGACCAGCGCTATGCTCACTACAAGTATATGTTCAGCCTGTGCTACAGGATCCTACGCCACTCCCAACAAGACTATCGCAAGAACCAGGTATGTTGTCATGCTGTATATAAGTTGCTGTTTTTGGGTTTGATCAGCTAACCAGTGCGGGGAAAATAATAAAATCATAAAATCATGTAGCAACAAAGTCTCTGGCACTTTGTTGATTTTTTTTTTCAGGCCAGGAAAGTTGTTCCCTGGCCTCCGTACAAGCTGATATTGAGTTTTCATTGAGTTGTCATCAGGGTCATTAACAGTGTCAATAAGATGTGAGGTAGCTAAGGGTAGAGGTGGCTTTTGACTGAAACCAGTATAGATTCTGCCAGATGGTCTGAAAAAAATCTATTGGGGACCCCAACCGATGTGTTAATGGTCCCAATCGAGGTAGTAGGTCTCAAAAAGAAAAATGGCAAATGCATGGCAACATTCAGTCAACAATTGCGCTACGATGATCAAAACAGCAAAATGTAACTTTCCCTTCTTTAATTTTATTCCAAATCCAGTTTTTTATTTATTATTATTTATTTTAATAAAACAATAGTCTGTAGATGACCTAACAAAACCCCCAATCCTTTGGTGAGTCTCACCCACACACCTATATACACACACACACTTTTATTCCACCACCTTCTGCATTACGAGTGCTGATAAACGCATGTTTGCTTCCTCATGCAGGAATATATAGCCAAAAAATTCACAATCATGCAGGCTCAGATCGGGTATGAGATTCTGGCTGAAGACACGATCACTGCACTGGTGCACAACAACCGCAAGCTGCTGGAAAAACACATTACAGCCAGAGAGATTGAGACCTTTGTCAACCTGCTGAGGCGCAACAGAGAACCCAGGTCAGTCAAGCAGACCTCCCAAATATTAGACAACCCCAGGGAACAATTACATGGAGGGAAAAAATGCTGGAAAAGTGTTAAATTAGTTCAAATCTATCTTCCAGCTGCTGCTTACTTACTTGATATCTTTTGTTTCTTCTATTTTTATATATACTGCTTAATCTTAAATGTAAATATATATTTGAACAAATCTCGGCATTTCATGTCTGCTCTGCTTTGCACAGATTTCTGGACTATTTGTCTGATCTTTGTGTGTCCAACAAGACGGCCATCCCCATCACACAAGAGCTTATCTGTAAATTCATGCTGAATCCTTCCAATGCAGATATCCTCATCCAGACCAAGTGAGTCACACCTGGTGATTGTTATATTTTAAAATGTCCCGAACCATTAAAAAAATAAATAAAATTTCAATATGTGATGCCTTTGCACAGCGTGCAAGACTGCCGTTTCCTCCAGAGCATCTACCTCTTGTGAAATGTATATTTTCAGCAGCAGCAGCTCTACGTCAGTGTGTAAAGCGAGCAGTTTTTCTAGCTACTAGTTAATGTCTCACTCGCTCCTTTATCCTCCCAAGACTAATCTCAAACATAGAGACCACCAACCTGGAGTCCTCTCTGATACAAGAAGATGGGGATGAGGAGGAGGTTTGGCTCTATTGGATCGACAGCAACAAGGAGCCTCATGGCAAATCCATCCGCCACATGGCCCAGGATGCTAAGGCCAGCCACAAGTGTGATGCCGAGATCATTACCTACTACAGGTCTCTTTAACATCCAGTTCCACAAATGCGTGCACAGAAACCATTTTCCCCTTTTTCTGACAATTTCTTCTTCTACTCCACAGATACCAGTTAAACCTGTTTGCTAAAATGTGTCTGGACCGACAGTACCTAGCCATCAACCAGATCTCCAGTCAGCTATCTGTGGATCTGCTCCTGCGGTGCATGTATGACGACTGCCTGCCCTACAACCTCAGAGCCTCCTTTTGCCGCCTCATGTTGCATATGCATGTGGATCGTGACCCACAGGAGTCCGTGGTTCCTGTGCGCTATGCCCGCCTCTGGACCGAGATCCCCTCCAAGATCAACATTAACGAGTGAGCATCTACATGTTGGGTTATGTGTGTTTACAAGTATAATTTGTGAGTGACTACATGTAGATTTTAATGGCTTCAACAGGTTTGAGTACGAGTCAACCGACAGCTCAACGGAGGAAATGAAGAAGAAGTTTGCTCCAACTATGGAGTTTGTGGAAGAATATCTTAAGGATGTGCTAAACCAGGCTCATCCTTTTGAGGAAAAAGCTAAGAATGAACTCACATTGGAGGTAGGATAAACAAAACTTCAGACCTAACTTTGGCATGTTTTTTTTTTCTTCCATTTACTGGTTTTATTGGGTAGGGCAGCACGGTGGCACGGTGGTTAGCACTGTTGCCGCACAGCAAGAAGGTCCTGAGTTCAATTCCACCATCAGGCCGGGGTCTTTCTGTGTGGAGTTTGCATGTTCTCCCCGTGTTTGCGTGGGTTCCCTCCGGGTACTCCGGCTTCCTCCCACCGTCCAAAGACATGCATCTTGTGGGGACAGGTTAATTGGATAATCCAAATTGCCACTAGGTATGAATGTGTGAGTGAATGTGAGTGCGAATGGTTGTCTGTCCCTGTGTGTTGGCCCTGCGACAGACTGGCGACCTGTCCAGGGTGTACCCCGCCTCTCGCCCTATGACAGCTGGGATAGGCTCCAGCGCCCCCCGCGACCCTGAAAAGGATAAGCGGAAGCGAATGGATGGATGGATGGATGGTTTTATTGGGTTGTTTTAATGATGGATCATGTTTGAATTCTCTTTCAGGTGGTGAACCTGGCTCGAAATCTGGTTTACTTTGGTTTTTATAGCTTTAGTGAGTTGCTGCGCCTCACGCGCACTCTGCTGTCCATCTTGGATTTTGTCCAGTACCCGGCCAGCCCCTTGAACAAGCTCAACAAAGGCCCAGAGGCTGGCGGTTAGTGCAGTTATGTGTTTAAATTACTGTATGTGTCTTTGATTTTTTTTTTTTTAATCTAAATTTAATGCGAATTTATGCAGGAGTGGCTGTGAATGAAAACATGAGGTTTGAAGTCAACTGTTAAAGTAGACGGAGAAAGCAGAGGAACAAAATTCATCATTAATTATGCTTAGTTGATTTTTTTAGAGGTTTTTAGGGAAATAAAAATGAGATCAATGAAACCAAGATATGAACTTATAACTAATGAGACGTGGAGATGGTTAATGAGGATTTTCTGCAGAGAACAGAGAAAATGACAGATCTGCTCATGCAATGCAGATAGAATTTAAACAAAAATTAAAACTTTTAAGATTGGTGAACGAACTGGTAGATACAAATGGTGTTGAGGTTTAACGACATGAAAACACTAACTATATATTAAATTTTCTTCAGCTGGAGAAACATCTGGGTCATCTACGATGCTGTGAAAAAGTTTTTGCCCCTTTCCTTTTTTCATAGGTTTTCAGAATATCTGTCACCTCTTATATTTTAAACAACTTGTAAAATCACACAAAGATAACCAGCTTAAATAGAAAATGCAGTTTTTAAATTATGATTTAACTGAGGGGAGAAAAAGATATCCAAACCTACCTGCCCTGTGTGAAAAAGCAATTGCCACCTAAGCCTAATAACTGGTTTTGCCACTCTTTGCAACAAGAGCTGCTGTATAAAAGGCCCCAAAGTTCATAATAGTTTTAATGGTGTTTATACGTTTATATAAGTTCATTTAATGTTCAGTCTTCTGTCAATTTGGGCCGGCCCACCTTCTAGTGACATCATCCGGTTACTAAGGTGGGCAGTTTAATGCCGGATGAGCAGTGTTGGTCCGGAGAGGGTGCACTGATTCCTGGGGAAAGTTATGTGTGCGTAAATGACAAGTAAGTAGTGACCTGTGTTGTATTTTGCCTTTGTTTGTGTCAGTACTGTAGTATGTTACCATTTAGGAGCTAAAGTAGTCCATAGTTGGAGCGGTAGGCCACGCATGCAACGCGTGAGTTCACCCTCATTTCATATGCTAATTTATGTTGTTAGCTTACCCAGGTTTAGCTTTGTTGACGCATGTACGGTCGCTCGTATGTCCATAATGTCATTCCTGTGTTCCTTCTCTGTATGTTGTATGTGATGCTTGTGATTGTTTACTTTGAAGTAGCGGAGTTTGTAGCGAACAATTAGGTACGAGAACTAATAAAATAGGAATGACATTATGGACATACGAGCGACCGTACATGCGTCAACAAAGCTAAACCGGGGTAAGCTAACAACATAAATTAGCATATGAAATGAGGGTGAACTCACGCGTTGCATGCGTGGCCTACCGCTCCAACTATGGACTACTTTAGCTCCTAAATGGTAACATACTACAGTACTGACACAAACAAAGGCAAAATACAACACAGGTCACTACTTACTTGTCATTTACGCACACATAACTTTCCCCAGGAATCAGTGCACCCCCTCCGGACCAACACTGCTCATCCGACATTAAACTGCCCACCTTACTAACCGGATGATGTCACTAGAAGGTGGGCCGGCCCAAACTGACAGAAGACTGAACATTAAATGAACTTATATAAACGTATAAACACCATTAAAACTATTATATGAACTTTGGGGCCTTTTATACAGCTGCAATCAAGTGTTTGCGATACCTGCCAAAAAAAGTGGTTTATCACAGTTAATTCATGATTTGTCATTAATGTGACTATATGTGAAAAAGTAATTCATTTATTATTCATTACTTTTTCACATGGGGCAGGTAGGTTTGGATAGATGAAAAAAAGTTTTATGATGTGAAATGTGACAAATATGCAAAAAACACTAAGAAATCAAGAAGAGGGCAAATACTTTTTTTATAGCTGTGTAGCATTTTGTTTCTCTTGACTTTCCTAGCTTTTAATGAACGTAATCTAACTTCAATAGGCTTGACACACACAGACACATAATGAGACATGTATAAATGTTATTTTCTTTAGGCAACAATGTCCTGCGAACGATCCACGGTGTTGGTGAAATGATGACTCAGATGGTGATGAGTCGAGGTGTGCCACACATCCTCCCTGACTCTCCTCCTCCTCTACGCTATGGGAAGGTGCTCTTCCTGCCTGAAAATGAGGATTTGATGGTGATGGACACAAAACTAAAGATCATCGAGATCCTGCAAGTCAGTGGCACTTCTATATGTTCTGCTTACCATCACTGCTGCATTTTTTTTTTTCCCAGTGCTTGACACTTTTTTTGTGAACTTTGTTTTTTTTCCTGACAGTTCATCTTGAGTGTGAGGTTGGATTACAGGATCACATACTTACTGTCGATCTACAAGAAAGCGTTTGGGGACAGGGCCTTAACTGACAGCTCGATGTCTTTGGCCGATGTGCCTCCAATAACACGTGAGACTTTCCTCTCTTACCGTGCAAATGCAGAAAAGTTATTTTATTACATTATCCTGTGTTAATTACTGCAGTCTGCTCACATCACTTTTTCTTTCATTTTATTTTGTCTTCAGCTTCTGAACCTGACATAGATGAGATTGTACAAAAAGCAGAGAGCATGTTTGTAGAAAGGTAGGTGAACATGTGCCTATTTATTGACTCCTGATTTGTTGGGACATTTATGCCTTTATTAGATTGACAGTAGAGACAGACAGGAAATGTATGCCAGTGTTTTTTAATATGCTTTCAAACATTCATATAAAGCAAATTAAAATTTAAATATGCACAGCTCTGACTTCAGCTCTGAGTGGAGCGCGGTGGAGCTGGACGGTGAGGATGGCCGGACATTTTTGAGAGTTCTGATCTATCTCATCATGCAAGATTATCCCCCACTGGTATCTGGGTCTCTGCAGCTCCTCTTTAAACACTTCAGTCAGAGATCTGAGGTGCTGGAGGCCTTCAAACAGGTAACAACAAAGCAGTTGCACTTTCTGAGTTAAGTTAAGAGTTTTTTCAGTACTGGTTGATGTAATCAGTTTGGAGGAGGAGTGTTCTCTAAAGAGCCAACAGCTCTAAAATGCATCACTAAGAGATTCCTCAGATGGAAAAACTGCCTAAGAGCCAGTTTGACTCCAAAGTGGTGCACAGAGACTTATTAGAAGATAGAAATTTATTTTGGTTATACATATTTTAGGAATATGCCATGGCCTCCAAATCTGAGGCCATGGTTCTCAGCCGGAAAAGGGTGGAGTGCCCACTCCGGGTCGGGGATGAGTTCCTGCCCCAAGTGCAGGAGTTCAAGTATCTCGGGGTCTTGTTCGCGAGTGATGGGAGAAGGGAGCCGGAGATCGACAGACGGATTGGGGCTGCAGCTGCAGTGATGCAGACGCTGCACCGGTCCGTCGTGGTGAAGAGGGAGCTGAGTGTAAAAGCGAAGCTCTCAATTTACCGGTCGATCTACGTCCCTACCCTCACCTATGGCCAAGAGCTGTGGGTAGCGACCGAAAGAACGAGATCGCGGATACAAGCGGGAGAAATGAGCTTCCTCCGAAGGGTGGCTGGCCTCTCCCTTAGAGATAGGGTGAGAAGTTCGGCCATCCGGGAGGGGCTCAGAGTAGAGCCGCTGCTGCTCCACATCGAAAGGAGCCAGCTGAGGTGGTTTGGGCATCTGACAAGGATGCCCCCTGGGCGCCTCCTGGGTGAGGTGTTCCAGGCATGTCCCACCGGGAGGAGGCCCCGGGGCAGACCCAGGACACGCTGGAGAGATTATATCTCTCGGCTGGCCTGGGAACGCCTTGGTGTTCCCCCGGATAAGCTGGAGGAGGTGGCTGGGGAGAGGGAGGTCTGGGCCTCTTTGCTTAGGCTGCTGCCCCTGCGACCCGGCCTCGGATAAAGCGGATGAAGGATATTTTAGGAATATCCCTGACTGACTTTACTCTTCATTGTGCACGTGTGTGTCTTAGGTCCAGCTGCTCGTGTCAGAGCAGGATGTAGAGAACTACAAGCAGATCAAGTCGGATCTGGACCAGCTGCGTCTGACCGTTGAGAAGTCAGAGCTGTGGGTGGAGAAGAGCATAGTCTACACCGGTGAAGAACTTGCTGCCAAGATGGCCAAAGAGCCAAACACTGAGGTGCTGTGCTCGTATTTAAAAGTAAAGCATCTAGAAGCAACATCTAAAAGTAACGTTTTACATTTTAGAATTGGATATGACATTTTCAGCTCTCTCAGAAATTACTGTTTGTGTTAAATGGGCCATCAGTAATTCTTCTGCACTGTAAATGGTTTCGATGATTGTTGTTTTTTCTTCACAGCTAATGAAAAAGTCCAACTGTTCTGTTAGCTTAATTAGTAAAAAATGTCTGACTTCACAGGGAACTGCATTTAGGCACTTGTGTGTCACAAATTGTTATTTTTATTGTTATTTTTAGAGCATCTCCGTGAGTGCTGGAAGTCTTTGAACACACTTTAATAACTCACTGAGATGGGATAAGATTGTTTCATATTAAAAACAGACCTGTTTTAAAGTGGACATTGAGCACAACTGCTTTCACATGTCTCATGTCTCTCTCAGGAGGCTGTTCTGAGCCCAGTGCAGGATGGGGAAAGTAAACCTCAGATTGACGGTAACAAGGCAAACAACTATAACATAGTAAAAGAGGTGCGCTGCACATCCTTATCTCAAGTGTGTTCCTGTAAAATGTCTGTTGGGCTCTTGTGCATCTGAGAAAAAAAATTTGTGCGTCTCATCTATAGATCCTGCTGCGGCTCAGTAAGCTGTGTTACGGCAACAAGAAGAGTCGCGCGCAGCAGCAGAGGCTGCTGAAGAACATGGGAGCTCATACAGTGGTGCTGGACCTGCTGCAGATCCCTTATGAGAAGGTAAGCCGTGTACACAACAGCCAGTTCAATGATTTTCTGCTTCAGTCTGTGTGCAACATAGTTACTGGATGTCTTCCTGATTCTCGAATCATCTTTTATTTCCCCGGCGCCATGTTCTCACAGAGTGATGACAAGATGAATGACATCATGACCCTGGCACATACATTTCTCCAAAACTTTTGCAAAGGAAACCATCAGAATCAAGTTCTCCTACATAAACAGCTGAACCTCTTCCTCACTCCAGGGGTGTGTAGACATGACTATGCTCCACTTTTTCTCATGCTGGCATGCCTTTGGGTGTCCTCTTTCTAGTAGTGCGACAGCCGTATGGTTTCTTTTGATGAATGATTCAGTGTGCCGTTTAAGTGAACGTTTTCATCTTCACAACTCCTGCTTTTCTCCAGCTGCTGGAAGCTGAGACGATGCGCCACATCTTTATGAACAACTACCAGCTGTGCAATGAGATCAGTGAGCGGGTGGTCCATCATTTTGTCCACTGCATCGAAACGCACGGAAGACATGTTCAGTACCTCAAGTTTTTGCAAACCATTGTGAAGGCTGATACAAAATATGTAAAGAAATGTCAGGACAAAGTCATGACAGAGGTTTGTTTTTATTGTTTGTTTTTTGTGTGAAAAATGGGGGAAAAAAATTATCTTATGAACAGGAAACACTCATGTGGAAGTTCTCCAAATCAGTTATCATGTATTTTTCTTAATAACTGCATTTTTCTTAATCTAACTGGTTATTTAAGAATGTAACATGTGACAGATTGTTATTACTAATCATAACATTTCATGTTTGGTTTTCACTGAACTTGAGAAGATGAGAATACTTGCGCACTACACAAAGAATCAATTATAAATTGAAAGGCTTTTTTTATGCTTACTTTTAAATGAATGCCGGTGTGCGAGACTCTTCCTTAAACCTTTCTTTTTCTTGGGTTCTCTGTTTGCGTGTCCAGCTGGTGAACGCTGGTGAGGACGTGCTGGTGTTCTACAACGACCGCTCGTCTTTCCAGGTGTTGTTACAAATGATGGGCTCTGAGCGGGAGCGGGGCGATGAGTATGGAGCTCTGGCGTATCACAACACACTCGTGGAGCTGCTGGCTGCCTGCACCGAGGGAAAGAACGTCTACACTGAGCTGAAATGCAATTCCCTGCTGCCGCTGGATGACATTGTTAAAGTTGTCACTGATGTGAATTGCATACCAGAGGTAGTGACCAGATAGTTTTACGACACAATAAGAATACACGTTGAGGTGTAGGGTAAAGATAAATAATATCACCATCCTTCTGTAAAGACATTTTTGGTTATATTTCAGTGCCGTGTGCCTTCAAAAACTAATTGGGCATTGCTTTTTCTAATTTCTCGCCCTAAGGTCAAAACTGCTTATGTGAACTTTGTGAATCACTGCTATGTGGACACAGAGGTCGAAATGAAGGAGATCTACACCTCCTCCCATATCTGGAAGCTCTTTGATAACTTCCTGGTGGACATGGCCAGTGTAAGTCA